CATTTAAAGTTAGAGTTAGTTGTATGCATCATCATAGACCTTTTTTGTTATGTTCACTTAACAGTTAGGAAAGGTGTGATGTCGTGTACAGTGATATTAAAGGAAATATGGTTGTTGTATAAAGGTTTGTTGTGTACGTAACTTTTTGAAATATTTTGTACTGTAATTATGAAGATATTTATGTAGAAGTTTATGATATAAGTACACAGTTTGGTGAGTGAATGGAATTTGTTGCATAGAAGTATTTCATTGTGAAGAAATATATTTTTCCATATATATATACATATACATATATACACATGTATATTTATACATTTTATATTTTATACATATATTTATATACATTACTAGATTAAATAATATACTAGTACATTACTGAATTATATTATAGGCAATGTTTTAATAATTTAATTTCAAATAAATGGAGGAGGTACATGGAACACGCTGTGAAAATCTAAACAAAATATCTCATTACTGGGCTATCCATTGACTGGTTATACCATCATTGGAATGGAATGTAATTCATTTAACACTCCGCCCCCATTAAATACGACTGTCGGCCTACATTTTATGTAATTAACATCTGATCTAATATATTACGTACCTAGGCCTAATGTGGTTGGCTACTGATAGCTAAGTGTAGAGTACGAAAAGCTACAAAATTCATAAATGTAAAGGAAAATCATCCAAGAGCAATGCTGAAAAGCTACCGTCTCAATAGAACAAAAATTCCATGTTGGACCTTGCTATCATGTATCTAACGGCAACGTCCTCGTCATCAACCACAGCACAGTGCGGCAACACGAAATGTGCTGTACATACATTCATCGCTACTGACTGATTTGAATGTGTGGTTTAATACACATAAAAGCAACTTGTAGCCTACATTTATTTCCTGTAGTATCTGATCTAGACTAGGGCCTATGCCTACATACACGTACGTACCCAGCCAGCCTATTCGTCTTCGTCAGGCCAGCCTGCATTACAGTACATTGACATGAAATGTGCTGCACACATACACTCATCGCTACTAAAACTAATTTGAATATTATGTGGTTTAATACACATAAAAGCAACTTGTAGCCTACATTTCCTGTTATCTGATCTCTTACACACACATACTACCCAGCCAGCCTATAGGCCTAGTTCGTCTTCCTCTAGCTCTAGGCCAGCCTGCATTACAGTAGTGTACATTGTTTATCTCTCAGGGGAGAGACCACCCACCCTTGCAAGCACCACAAAACGGCTCATTCTTCGCTGCCAACTAGACTCGTGCAGACGCATTTATTAGCCCACAGCTTACCATTCCAGACCGCGATTGGTTGATAAACACAATGTGGAATCAGGCAATTTGTAATCTGATCAATGACGAACACGCTTTCATAGGAAACCCACCGTAGTGTAAAGAAATATGATAAAAAAACATACTTTTCACATATTTCCTGACAATATTTTCGCAAAAACTCTTCATACTTTAAATTCCCCACGCCTTATCTTCCATATTATTGCAAGATCGGCCTAATCGCGTCACAAACGAAGGAGATAGAAAAACAAATGACTTCAAAATTTGCTCAGAATCATCATATAAGCCCTCTCTCTCAGAGAGTGGGCTAAAAATTCTATCTTACTATACTGCCCTCATGGGAGCTTTTGTGATTACGATACCTTATTTTAAATCAAGTACTTTCTTTGGATTGCCTTTTTGGTATTAGGTAAAGGGTACTTAAGCTTTAATTGGAGCCTTTGTTTCAAACTGTGCATATGGTCTATTGTACATACCTTTGTAAAATATCCAGGATACAGGCGTTCCTGTATGGGGGCTACGTAGTTCTTAACAAGAAACAGCCAATGTTTTTCAAAGCCGATCTGATTCATGTGAATATCACGTGTTGGTACGTTTTCATAGCCACCATCCAATCGTGGATCCTGAAGAAAAGAAAGAGAATTAATTATATACACAATATTATTGTCTGAAAAACTTTTGATAATTAATTTTTGGAATTGGTTCATTATACATTTGTATTTTTCATACTTATTGTTCATATTATTTGTTTAACAAACTTATTCAAAAAGATGTGAACTAAATCTTGATAGATTGATTGAATTTATACGATGCTCGCCATGCAAATACAAGATAAAAAAAATTATTTCAGAACGTAGAAAGAAAAAATTAATGAGCATCAGGAACACCCATTAGGCCGGAGTTCAGCCCACTTCAAATGGGGTCCAAATGTTCCATTTAAAAAATACCGGACAAAACATTATTTGAAATTTTTAAAAAAACATTAAAAAAACAGATACTGAATTGTACATAATTAAAAATCTAAAAAAAGTTTAAAGTTACATTAAGAACAATTAAAGAACAATTAAAATTAACATAATTAAAAAACAGCACCAAGAAAATGTAAATTTGAAGTGTTCATAGACCAAAATTGCACTTAGTGGAATGATAAACAGAATAATTAAAAGTATTTCTGTGTTCAAAATATTCTTATATATTATATCTTATAATACTACATTGATTATATTATATTTATATTTTCTTTATTTATTATATATAAGATGTGTATAAGAGACCGTATTTATGTAGAGGTTTATGATATAAGTAGACAGTT